AGGCTCCTTAAGGTACAATATGAGGGTATTATTTTAGAGTAAAGGTGATCTGGGGTTTCAAGGTTGGGGAAGGAGGTCTCATGATAAACTCTATATGCTCTGTAATCACGTTTGTTCCTGCCATATAGCTAGGTTTCGCTGATAGAAAGCTTATTTCTTGCAAAAATCTTAACGCTTGGCAATCCACTTTTCACTGTTCTAGGTAATTAAGGGATTGGTAAAATTTCTCATGAGCCTACAGAGCTTTGATAGACCTCTGCTTCAAATAATCCACATGCAAAAGTGAAACTTCTGGAGAAGGTCTGTTCTGAACCTTCAGACCTGAACAAGTCATTAGATCTTTCTCTGTACAAGCTGGTCAGTGTGGGTCTTTGAATCTGTGCCATTGGCAGCTTCTTGGAGTGGCTCCCAACAGTGTCTTTTTTGGCTGTGTGTGTGTGTGTGTGTATGTGTGTGTGCACGCGCACATGTCTGTGCTCATATACATTCATTTTTCATGGTTTATGGGCCTCTTCTGGATATTTCCTTAATGTGCTGATCCCCCATGCCTGAGTTGGTGGTCACTTGGGAAACTCATCTGCTGATATTTACCACTTAACATGGACATGAAAATTGTCCAATACCCTCCGGGTGCCTTGATCGTGGGTGTGGTGTGGTAACATGCATCTGAAGAGGTGTGATCCCACAGTGTTGTAAACAAATGTTACCTCAATAAAAATTATAGATTGTCCAATTCCAGGTAATCAGCCCCCTAGCATGCGTACCTATCATGACCCACTGAGGATATTGAAGAGCCTCTATTATTACTCCATAGGAGGTTCCATGTCCTTGGACATCTCTCCAAATATGGGAGCAGGAGTTTCTATCTTTTAGGAAGGAGAGTACCCAGGAGTTGTGTGGGAACCTGGGTTGGAGGAGGAAAGATTGGGCAATCAGAGGGGTGAAAGTGTGGGGCATGCGGATGGCAGAAGAGTAATGTTTAGACAGCCATGATGGGTGAGTGGCTCTTTTTCTGCTTGAGTTTGAGATCCCCCCCCCCACCCCCAATAACTATCCCATGTGCTCCTGGAAAAAGTAAAATCCCTCTGCAGATGTGGCTTTCAGGCACAGGGTAAGTTACTGTTGTTGGCAAGGGTAATTTCAGGGGCTCCACAGAGCTGTTCATTCCTATTTTGCTTCAGGAAGCTTGTTCAGGGTTTGCTTCCTTGGAAAGATGCTACTATTATGAAGAGATCTCACATTAAGAAAATCTCAGGTCTGGGGTGCTCGGGAGCAGCAGAGGCACAGGGGGCATTTCTCCTGGCGCCTCTGAGTTTTTCCTGTTAGCTGTGTTCAGGAGAGAGTAGCTGCCTGCTTTGCAGCGCCCTGGGGAGTAAGCCCCCTGGTGCCAAACTGCCTCTCCCTCCCTGTGTGGAGCATCCCAGAAACCCTCACTGTGGTGAAAACCTCAGACTCTGGTGCTGCTACCAGACAGGCGGCTCCTGTGTGGTGAAACAGTGCTGGCTGGAGTAATACTGCCCTGTGACCTTTTTCAAGGGTGTTAGGTGACTGACTGCTCTATAACACATCAGAGGTTCTGTCCTCCAAACCTACCTCTGGGGTGCGAGATAGGAGGGGAATGGTCAGTGAAAACAGAAGCCCCTCCTTTTAACTGAAGGCCACCCGGATGGTGGCTGCTTGAGGAGATGTCTCCCTTTTATTCTGCATCCTTAAGCGCCTCTGACAGGCTGACCCCACTAGTCACTCACTCTTATCTCCAGGTGTTTGGGTTTTACTTCTCTATTCAAGGAAACTCTTTCCACTTCCAAATTTGCATTTGCAACTTTCATAACCATTTGGTCTCTATCCGTCCCTTAAAAGTTCATTTAGATGAATGGAGGTAGTGTGAGGGAGGGGAAAAAAAGAAACGAAGATATAGTTTCTCCAGGTAAGTGGACCATGAAAATGGTTGGTAAGCCTTCCTCACCTTGCTGGGCCTCTGGGCCTGGATAGTCAAGTTGGGGGCACCTCTGTGCCCAGATGTGGAGAGCAGCGTGGCCAAGGTGCTGTTTAGACAGTATGGAGCACACTTTCCCTCCTTTATTGCCGGCGTGATTTTATGGGCCTTTTGCTCTTTTTCTGTTACCATTTTGACACATGGATGAAGCCTGGTGTCCCTCTCTGCTTTGCTTATTATAGTGACTACAAAAATGAAATGATCAAACCAGTTTTCATCTTATTTTCCTTAAAAAAATAGAAATTATTACTTTATTCTGACATGATGGAAAAGCATGAATCCCAAGATGTACATATTTTTCATTATAATGAATGGCTTCTGTTATTTTTTATCACGGTTTTATTTTGCCTAGAGCACATGTGGTGAATCTGCTAGCAAATGGCTGCCAGCAGAGTCGATGCTGTCTGAGGAACAAACCAAGGTTTCTGTATCTCTGACTACCATTTCGTAGCTAATGACAACAGTCTGGCTAAGTCTGGCTACTTTTTATTGACCTTGCCCTGAGTCCTAGTGACTCACATTTCATGCAATGTCACATTTAACCTTTATAGCAACTCTACGAAGTAGGTACCGTTCACCTTTTTCTTGATGAGAAACTGAAGCTAAGGTCATTTTTTTCATGACTCCAGAGGAAAAACTTGGCAAATGTTTGCTATAAAATACCAGAAGGTAACTATTTTAGGGTTGGGGGGTCACAGTTTCTCTGTTACAAGTACTCAGTTCTGTTGCTGTAATGCCAGAGAAGCCATATAAAATACAAATCAAGGGTGAAAGAGTTCTAATATTTCTTTATTGACACCGATATTTAAGTTACACATAATTTTGTCATATCAAGATATTACTATTATTTTTTCAATAATTAAAAATATTAACATTCTTTACTTTCAGTCTATACAAAAACAGGGAGTGGACTGGATTGGCCCATTCCTGAGATACATGAAGAGCATGTGCAGGGAAGGATTGGGGGGCTTGGGGTGACTATTCCTGCAGAGGGGACAGCATGCATGTAGGTAGCAGAGAACACGAAGTACCTGTGGGACTGCAGTCAGCGCAAGCTCAGCTTGACAGGGCTCAAGGTAAGTTGAGAGGAGACAGATGGGCCCAAGTCCTCACCTTGTTGGATATTTTAAGGATTTCAAACAGTCCATAGAGTAGTGGAAAGGCATTAAAAGTATTAAGCAAAAGATTGACCAGGGGCATTTGTCTTTTATAAAAACATGTCATGATTGTGAAAAATGGATTGAGTTAATAGTAAGGAGGGTAAGTAAGAAAAGAAGCAGAAAAAACAGTTAGAAATCTTAAAAAGTAGCCCAAGTGGGTAATGATGGTGTATCCAGATGATTTCCTGAACACATCATGTTTGGGTCATCAGGTTGGTCAGATTTATAGAGTAGGAAGATGTGGTTGGGAGAAGCAAAGTGTCTCGCTTGGCAACACAGCAAAGGAGAAGACCCTGGTCTCCTACTTCTACCCTGCTGCCTTTTCCTGTGTGGCATGACTTTCTTCTCCTTCAAAATAGAAATCATGTTTATCCTAATAACTCCTTTCTCTCTGAAACCTACAGCTACAGAGCTTCTCCTCTCACACATGCTTCTGCAGGAAGAGCTCATAAGTGAGGACAGTTTTTCTTAGGTTTGAGTTGTTAATTTTGTTTCCTGAGGAAATTTATTTTATTGTTGAGGGAAATAGCTTCTTGTTCAAATAATAGGAAGGCCAAAGATGATGGTAATGATTTTATTTTTTTGCTGGTGTTTGAAAGGTTGCTGAATATATAAAGGTCAGCTTTTTTTGAAATGTGTGTAACTTTCATTCCCAAATGAGAATTGGTACATGCTCTTCACCTTTGGAAGAATGACTCACCTGGCTGGGCACTCAGAGGCATCCTTCAGTCCTAATATCGGCATAGTCTCTGGAGCAGGGCACCCCAACCGTTGAGCAATATGATATTGAGGGGCTAGAGTCTGCTTTATGGGGTCTAAGACTGGGGATGGGGAGAAAAGAAGAGGGAAAGGTTAAAAACTCATTCTGTGGGGCACAGGAGAGGTGGTGATTTTGCCTCAGCTTCCCTTGGGGCTGTGTCCTACAGATGACCTTGGGTGACACTGACCTATGCTGGGGTGAGAGCAGAGGAATTTAATAAAGATCTTGGTGGGACCTAAAAGCAGTGACTGCTCAGTGAATCTTGGTTTCAGCTGGCATTTCATTCAAATTATATATTATTTGTCAATTGGACTTGTTTTCCCCATTATGGGGGAAGGTCTGGGGTCCTGGTCTGTCTCTCAGATGCCTCCTGCTACCCCCTCCATGGACAGTGTCTTACACAGAACAGATGTTCTGTTGACTTGTCACATTGGCATCTCTGCTGTACAGAGCAACCTCATCTCTCACAGAATTCAGTGTTTTCTAACCTGAAGTCATCAAAAAGATACTTTGGACACCTTGATCATAGAACGAATTTCAGGAGTAAGCAGTGCCCAAAGATCAGACCTCCATCAAGGATCTTCTCCCATTATGCAACATTTGGTGCCCACTTCTCTTTGCTCCAATCCATTTCATTAGACTTAAGTTGCATGTCTTTATTGTTGCATAGTAGGTGCTCAATAGATGTACTCTGAGCTAGAGCACTTCTGAGACTGATTTTATTTATTCTCTGCAGGTTCTTTACATGATCATGCAGGTATAGATGGTGAGGCTGAAGTTGTGAGCTCAGAGATTAATAACTTCCTTTGTTATTAAAAATAGTTATGAGTTAGACAGTGGATTAGGTTCTGAGGGGCAACAACAGCAACGGAAAAGTGATTGATTTCAAAATCTTCCATTCTAGCACAGAGTTAATAACCACATGGTATGAGACTCAGGCCTTGGTGACAGCCTTTTCCCAACCTAGTGTTCGAGTCTGGAGGACTTCTCCTGCTGGACTCTTGAATGTGCAGGAACATTTAGAATAATGTGTAATTGTGGATGAATTAACCAGCCCTGAACGTGCTTTTCTTCCATTGTGCAGAATGGAGATGTCTGCCCAGAGGCTACTTTCTAACAGAACATCTCAGCAATCTGCACCTAATTCTGATTACACCTGGGAATATGAATATTATGAAATTGGACCAGTTTCCTTTGAAGGACTGAAAGCTCATAAATGTAAGTCTCGTATAATTCCTCTTTTAAGCATGATGCGTATTTTCCGTAACCTGTGAAATCTGTGGTGATTACCTTTCCTGACTCTTCAATTCTTTTACAGAACCCTGTTTCCTAACCCCAAAACCCCAGAAAATACCCTCTCAAAACTCTGACTGCTTGGTCAGGAATGATATTACCCAAGGGCCTTGGTAATTCTGAGTAATGATGAACTTTAAAGGTTAAAATGGGAGAATATGAATCAATGCCATTTTCAGTTTGATACTTTTTTCAAGCCTTAACAATTCCAGTTCTCCTAAACTGTGAACATTTTGACTATCAAAAATGTGTCCAAAAGTAGAATATGGAACAATTATTATTATTATTTTTTTTTGTAGCACATAGTCTGTGGCCCCCTGGGTTTCCCAGAGCTGTGGAGAGCTGTCTATGATGTGTGTGTTTATAATGTCAGAGACCAGATTGCAATCAATCCTAACTCTGTTGTAGGCATGAATAGTGTTTCATGTTACTGGAGTAATTAAGATCCAGCACAGAGCAAAAAGGGTCAATCTATGAGAATTTGCTGTACAATCCAGGTCTTAGCTGAATGCTGACTGGCTGATATGAAGCGTCTTTCTTGTTTTATGTGGAGTTGACATAATGAGCAGGACCTGCCACCCACTCCCATGTCTTCTTGTGGTTGGTTACCCCATAAAAATTGCAGAGATGTTTGTTTCAGAATAAATATCTACAGCACTAGAAAAATTTAGGTTCTTATCAGTTCCAGATTAATGGGACATATCAGGAAATATAGGAGAGATGACATAAGCGGTTTAGTATAGCAAAGGCAGTACTTTTGATACTACACTATTTCTGGGTCCCTGCCACTCTGATCTGTCTTTGTGTTCTTGAGCTCTCACACCTACTTGCTGCTCCCTTGCAAGAAAGACTTTCTATTTGTTCCAGCTTTATTCATATATAATTATAAATTGTAATGTATTTATAATTATATTACAATGTGATAATGTGATATATTAATACACTCTGAAAGGATTCCCAGTGGGTTAATTTGCAGTCATTGCTTCACAATTTATCTTTACTTTGTTTGATGAGAACACTTAAATTCTACTCTTGTAAAGTTTCAATTATGTAATATAGTATTAACATTAGGTCCTTAAACATGATTCGTCTTATAACTGAAAGTTTATAGCTTTTTGTCATATTCTGTTTTTCCCTCTCCCCTACAATGCTAATTCCTGCCAACCTGTCAACCACTTTTCAACTCTTTGTCTCTATAAGTCTGACTTTTCTTTTAGATTTCACATATACATGATACCATGAAGTATTTGTCTTTCTCTGCCTGACTTATTTCACTTAGCACAAAACCCTATAAGTACATTTATGTTGTCTCAAATAGCAGGACTTCTTTCTTTTTAAAAATGGAATAGTAATAATTTTGTGTGTCTGTACATATATATATGTATAGATAGATCTACAGACACCACACTTTCTTTTTTTGTTTTACAGAGTCACCATTCATTTAGAGTCACACACATGTGCACCACTTTCAGTCCTTCCCCATTATTTCCCTTTTTGCTACAATTGAAGATTATCCTTTAGAATTTCCTTCAGTGTGACCTTTTATTTTTTTTATTTTAATTTTTTAAAAGATTTATTTATTTATGCATATAAGAACTGGGGTACAGGCCAGAGATGCGGGGGGTGAGAGGATTCACCAGAGACAGAGCAGGGAACAGAACAGGCAGACTGACTGATGAAATACACTGCTGAGAGGAGCAGCGGGCAAAACAAGAGAGGTCTGCCTCGCCATGTGGGTTTTCTCTGGCTGGCCAGGGATCAAACTCATGCTGCAGAGGCTGAGGATTGCTTCATAGTGCGGTGCTTAACCCCTTGTGCCACCAGGGAGGCCCCAGTGTGACCTTTTAAATTATGTAGAGCAACCACTTTCCGGGTAAGATAGAAGGGTGCTTTGCTGGCTCCCTCTGGAGTGGGTCCTGGGAGGTAGCTACTGTGAGGACTTTTAAGCCCATTAAGAACTTCTTTGCTCTCTATGGCCAGCGGGTTCTCATGGACATGAGCCCTGTTGACTTTCAGAATTAGATGTTTTGGGGCCATCTCTCTGGTGAGTCTTAAAAATCAGGGCTCTAGATGTGTGCTCCAAACCCCTAGCTCCTCAGGGAGAAGGTGCATTTTGGGGGTTTTCTCCTGATTGTGAGGCGCTGTGCTGAGAGAGGGGTTTGTGTCTCAGCCTTTCCTACCCATTTTGTTGTTGTTGTTTTTTGTTTAAAGATTTATTTATTTATGCATACAACATCTGGAGCATAGGCCAGAGGTGTGGGAGTGGAGGGGGGTGAGAGGATTCACCAGGGACAGAGTGGGGAACAGAACAGGCAGACTGACGAAATACACTGCTGAGGGGAGCAGTGGGCAAGACAGGAGGGGGGTCTGTTGTGCCATGTGGCTTAGCTACGACTTAACCCCTTGAGCCATCAGGAAGGCCTCCTACCTATTTTGACATGTAGATTTCCCCTTTGCTTCCTGTGTAGGAGTTACTCAGCTCATACATGAGCCTCCAGAGAGAACCGCTCCAAGTGCAAGCTGTGTATTTAATGAGTCAATGGGAGGAGGGAAGCTCTGAAATCTCTAGTCTCGTCTTGGTTAACATCCTGTTCTAGCTAACTACTCAGTTTAGCTTTTTACCTTTTTACCTGTTGCTGAAAGGACCTCAAGATACCTGATCTTATGTGTGGTTCCTGAGGGGCCAACACCACTGTTTGCTTGTGGCCGAGGTGGGGGGGTCAGGCTGGGCAGTCAGAGGGGCGGCAGTGATGCTCCGGCTGTTCTTCCCTCAGGGCTGCGAAAGCCTTTGGAGTTACTCAGTTCCTTGAGGTTTTACAGTTTTTGTTCCTTAAAAAATTCATTAAAGAATAATACCTTTACATACCTTTCATTATCCCAAAGTGGATAACAGCAATTAAATGCCTTCACTCATTCCTTTATTGATGTCCATGCCACAGTTTTTTTATGGCAATAAGAAAAGCACATGGAACCCCATGTTCTTTCTTTGATTATCTGGTAGGAGACTGTGGCTGTCAAGGGGTGAACTCACCCCTTTAATTCACTTTAATGCTTTAATATATTGTTTTTCTGGGATAATGTTTATAAAAGGACAATTACATTTAAGAATTTTAGTGAAAATCAAAATGACTGGGCACATTGCCATCTATTTCCCTGTAACAGGGGCATCTGTAGTTTGGTGATAAACATTTTTATTTTTTCGTCAGGTTATTCTTATCTCTTTTCCTTAGTTTAAGATCAAGAGAAGACAGATTTGCTGCTATAACTTTGGATGTTTCATTTCCAGAAACAATTGAAAATCTAAAATTACTATAGCTGGGAAAAATTCCCCCAAATGTAGGCAGAAGTGTGACACATTACACATACTTATTATACTATTAATAAGGAGAAGGTTTTAACATTCACATTAGGAAAAACCCCAAAGATGTTTGAGTGAGTCTTTACTGTTCTGATGTAAGAAATCTGATTAAAGTAAAGAACCTTAGTTTTAGAAACCTGACAACATACAAGACACAGAAAAGAACAAAAAACAAACCCCAAAATCCCAGCCACACAGGAAAATGAAGACTAAGTTAGATATTTTACTGTACACATTGATATAGTCTTCTATTTTAAAATTAAGTGATTTTTCACCTTCAAGTGTGTCTCCTTGTTTTGCCAAGAAAAATTCAAAGCCAGTTAGGTACAGTCCTAAGAAATAGAAGTGAGACATTTCAAGAGGAAGCTCTTATTAAGGACAGGAGTGATCCTGCCAGCTGTCTTCCTTTGTTTTACTCATAATGGCTCATGCCTGTCAGCAATAGCAAACATTTTTAGTTAGATGAAGTTTTTCTACCTGCTGAAATCATGATCCCAACCTTCAAAGGGCCTTTCATCTGAGAAGTAACCTCTTACTGTTATTGTTAATCTTGTTTCTTGTTTTGTCCTCAGTTTTGAATCTGATATCAAGCCTAATAATGTATCAGGACTTGGTATTTATCTGACATGCATTTGGTACCAGCAGAATGGAAATTCGTCCTTCTTTCCTTTCTCCCTTCACATATTTATTGAGCACCTGTCATGTGTAGCACTGTTTCATGCCCTGGAGATGTTACAGTGCACAGAAAAGACAAAGCCAGTCCTTTTATAGGGCTTGAATTCTAGTGGAAAGCCAAACAATAAATATATAAACAAAGCCAGAGAGCTAAATAAATAAACAAGCCTATGGAATTTGGAGGTAAAGGTATAGAGTTGCTGTGGAAGACTTTACTAAAGAGACATTTGAGAAGAGACTTGAAGGAAGTGAGAGATGGAGCTATAAGACATTTGGGAAAGAGCATTCTAGAAGATACTCCGTGGCAATAGTGAAATGCACCATGCAAGGAACAAGAAAGAGGCTAATGTGGCTCCAGGCAAGTGAATGAGAGCAGGAAGTTAAGTCAGGTAATGGAGCAGAAGGTGTCAGTGCCTTAGAGATCATGCTAAGACTTTGCCTTTTCCTCTGAGATGTCATTTAATGATTTGGAACAGAGGAGTGGGATCTGGCTTAGGCTTTAACAGAACCACTCTGCAGCTGGGGCAGGAAAGGGATGAGATTAGAAGCAGAGATTTTGCAATAGGCTAGGAAACTAATAATGATGACTTAGATCATGGTGAGGACAGTGGAGTGGTAAAAATTACATACTAAATAATTTTGGGAAGATAAATCTGATAGGAGTTGTTAATGGGTTGGCAGTGGAGTGTAAGAGAAAGAGAAGAGGGAAGATGACTTGAAGATTTGTGACCTGAGCAGTTGGCTCTGGAAAATTTGCCATTGACTGAGATGGGGAAAATTGTGGAAGAAGCAGGAAACACCAGGATCTCAGGGCTTGTTAAATTGAGATCTATTAGACATCCAAGAGGAAATAGGGGGAAAAGTATCCAGTGAAGGTACAAATTTGAAAATCGTATGCATATAAATGGTATTCAAACTCTAGAAGCAGGATAAATAATTGTAGAGTAAAAAAAACAGAAGCGGTCTAAGAACTGAGCCCTGTGGCATGCTGGAAGTTAGAGTTTGGAGGTGTTGAGAAGAAAGCTGGAAAGGAACTTGAATTGAACATATAGTAAGGTAGGAGAAAATGCTGGCAATTGTGGTTTCCTGGAAACCAAGTGTATAAAGGGTTTCAAATATGAAACAATCTTCTGTGTCAAATGTTGCTCTGGGATCAAGTCAGTCAAGGACTGAGACTTGACTACCGGCTTTACAATGTGGAAGTTACTTGTAGTGATTTTAAAAGCAGTCTTTGGTGGCATGGTGGGAGTGAAAGGCTAATGGAGTTTGTTCAAGAAAAAAAATGGGAGGAGAGTAAATGAATACAGTAGGCATTGACAAATCTCTCAAGAATTTTGTTATAAAGGAAAGGAGAGGAATAGGACATTTATGAAGGGCTTGGCAGGGTGACACACTTGATACTAGAGAAGCAGAAGTCTCTGAGTCAATGAATGACCCCTCTTTGCATTATAGCAGGACCGTACTGGCTGCTGTACTGGGGAGACACTGAAGGAGCATTGTTATTCTGAGCCATCAGTGGTGGCCACCTTCCATGCTTTTTGCATAGGAAGCATGCAGATAATGCATTTATGGATGAGTTTTGCATAGGAAGCATGCAGATAATGCATTTATGGATGAGTTAGCAAGAAACTGTGCCATCAAAGTCAGAGAGCTAGAGCTAGTGAAGACTTGGAACAAGACACGTCATTGGGGCACATAGGGACACGTATGCCAGGACTTCATAGCATGAAACTGACCCTAAACATCTTAAGGACCAAAGGTCCTTAAGCCTTCCCTCCTGTACCCCACATTATTGTGGCTTTTAGCCTAGAAGGGTGCGCTATGATAAAGGTACTGGTACAGGGCAGGGAGAGGGGCACCCCAGAGCCCCCAAACCTGCCAGAGGTAGTGTGAGGACAATGCTGGCTTTGGTGTCCTGAGCGCTCTCTTTTTAGGTATTAGCCATTGTTTTAGATACAGCTATGAGATGGAAAGATTATGATTTATACTTTCGAGATGCAGGGGAAAGGTTCTGAGATAGGATAGTTTCTCTAGTCCTACCCTAGTGTGAAAAAGATAATGAATGGAGAAAAAAAATCATACTAGAGAAAAAACATGCAGCATTTCCACCACAGTGCAGTCACCACAGTGCTCCCAGCTCCAAAGTACCCATAATCCTCCACTACAGTCTGTTGTGCTCCCTCCCCACCTTGTGTTCTCCCCTCCCCTTCCACCTCCGGATGCCTCAGTTCTGTGGTCAGTTTTCAAGGGTTGGTTTTAAGATTTGTCTTTGTCTGTTTTCCCTATATTCCATGTACACATGATGCAATCCAGTATTTACTTTTCTCTTTCTGGCTTACTTTGCTTAGCATAATCCCTTCCAGCTCTGCCCATGTTGCCACAAATGGCATGAGTAATAAACCTCCATTTTGACTTCTTCCCAGAAAAGGAAGCTTGGGAGAAGACAATGGATTCTGCTTTTACCATTTTATTGCAATGCCTGTACACATGGCACTGGCATTAAATAAAACTTCCAGATAGTTTGAATATTCCTGGAATGAGATGGGGATCTCTGATGTTGCCTGTAAGGGGCCGGAGAGGTTTCCCAAAAGGTGAGGGTAATTGTCCTGGGGTCAGATCATCTGGCAGAAGATGAGATAGAGGAACATTAGTAGGATTAATTTGAGGAAGTAGAATCTTATCTGAAGAGTAACATGAATAAGCAGACCTATTTAGGTCCTCCCCTGGTGGTGCAGCGGTTGGGTGCTGGGTTGTGAGGCTGCTCCGCAGTCTCTGCAGCGCCAGTTCCATCCCTGGCCACCGGTGAGGGTCCCACAAAAAAAATATATATAAATAAATAAAAGACTATTCCTCTAAAAAAAAATAATAAGCAGACCTATTTAAAGCAAATTGTAATGGGAAATGTAGTTACCTCATTATCAAGGAAATAATTGGAAATGCTGTTGGATCATAGGGGTTATCAAGTTCAAATCATGACCCTTCTCCACCCCATCCTGCTTCGTATCTGAGGACTGCAGCCCTCCCTCCCATGCCCCACATTATTGCTGCTTTTAGCCTAGAAGGGTGCACTGTGATAGAGGTACTGTTACAGGGTGGGAGACGGGCACCCCAGAGCCCCCAAACCTGCCTGCTCTAAATAGGTTCTGCCATCCGCAGCATCAACACAAAACATATAAGACTTTAATGGAAAGGGACTTTAATACAATTAGTAAACAATACAGAAAAGACAAAGAATATAGTTTCTAAATGAAGCACCCAAAGTTACAAATCCCCTCATGGGTAAAAGTCCACCCAAATATGATTGGCCCAGAGCAAGACCCCAAAGCCTGCCACAAGTCTAAAGCACCTTCCAGTGGGGACCCACAGAAAAGGATCAGAAACAACCATACAAGTCTGTAAGGAAAAGAGAAAAATCAAAATCAAAGTAAAAGCTGCCATTGTCACCTCCCCACGGGTCTCTCACCCACATCTGTGTCAACCAGTCCACAACCAAAAGGCAAGTGCAGTTTCTTCACGTGTCTCCCTGCTCCATGTGCCTCCTCCAGGTCTCCTTCTGGCTCTCCATCCTGCTTCCTCCCTTCTCAGTCTCCTCTGCAGCTTCTTTTCTTCTCCTTAGCTCCACGCTCCATTGGGTTGGGCCAGGTACCTGGAACTTACCGTTTTTCAGGGGACCACCCTGTTACAGTAACTCTTCTACACCTCTACCCACCCTGGGCTAGGCAATAAAGGCTGATGGGAATCCAAGCACCATGTGCAGTGTAAAAGCTGTCCATGTGAAAAAAAAACCTTCTTATAAACGGATTTGAAAAATATAAATCAACATTGCTAAATTAAATTCCCAATTGAGCACTTACATATAACACCGTGTCTCATTTTATAATTTGCTTTTGCTATGCAGGCAGTTTGCTGAACTCTCACTTACCTGCACAATGGTGCTTCACAGTCTGTGCCCCCACAATTGAGATGTTTTTGTTAAATTGTTAGTTCGCTTGTGTACATGTAATTTCGGCCTTTGTCCTTATAATCTTTTTAGGCCTGGCTTCCACTTTCTTATAAGGCAAATTCCACAATTTCTACTTCTTTAGTACTCTTAACCCCAGGAAAGATCCATTAATTTTTCATCCAGAGTACTGATCAAACATTAAACAGCAGTTGTTCACCTTTAGGCAATATTGCTAAAGGTGATGTAAAAAGAATAGATGACTTATACAGGGTAAATTGCTGATTGTATTTCTTAACTTTAGAAAAATTTCTATGTATACATAAATTAATTAGAATAAGGCTTTGTTCTTAAACACGCTTAATGTATAAGGTCCAATTGTTAAAAATTGTTAAGCATCCTGCAGTATTTCCACAAATGTTAACTTCTTAGACTTGATCCTCAAAGTTAAAATAATTAATAATGCAACTCTGTTGCATTTCCTAGATCTGATACCCTGTTGTGTTATGTAGCAGGTTCTGTAGAAAATCCAGTTTCATTCCAGTTCCCCAAAAACTCATGACTGTTACCCAAGCTGGGATCAATGAAGGACCCAGGGAGGAAGCACAGACAAAAGCTATCAGGGGCCTCAAAGGAGGAAGAGAGCATATCAGTTGGGGAGATTGGCCCAGGCTTTGGAAAGGTGATGGTTAAGGAATGGGCTTTGAGAGGTGGATGGACTGTCATTAGTCTAGCTTGGGTGAAGTTGTGCCAGCCAGGTAAAGGTAAGAGCATGGGAATTAGGAAACTATGGCTCAGCGTGAAGCTAAACGCAGGGACACTATGTTCCCGAGTCCAATTGGAAGTATGGGTTTTAAAGTAAGGGTAATTTCGGGGGAAATGATAATAACAGTATTAGCAATAGCCAGCAAATGTGGAATGCTTTCTTCTTAGATGCCAGACAGTATATAAAGTGCTTTACATGTGAAATCTCTTCTGAAATGGAAAAGGTCAACTCTGTTTTGTTGAAGAGTTTTTCATAAAAGAGCAGTATTTTCAGAGCTGTGATAAAGCAGGATTAAACAGAGGTGAAACACAGGGAAATATAGAAGATGGGGGACACTCTGGAAATCATTTGTATGTTTTCTGCAAAAAGTAATGAGGACCTGATTTATTCCAGCATGGATATCAGTGAAAGTACAAAATTTAGTTGGCTTGAATCAGAATCATTTTAAATTTTATACCGTAGTATTTTTAAACTTTGGTGGAATCTTGGGGACCTCGATGGTCTACATTCTGTCGTAGGCTCATTCACTGGGGTATAAAAACCATGAGGGGTGAATTCTCATAGTGTTGCCTGAGACAGAAACCCAGACGTGACACAGAACCTGCCCTTACCCATATCGCCTACATCTTATCTATTTCCAGTTGACTGAAGGGTCAGGATGTCTCATCAGATTGTTGATTTCCTTTCTAGTTTCATGTATCTAAAAGGTCAGATTCCTTGAATGTTCAAGATTTCATCTGCCAGGGAATACTAATCCCTGTATTGTCTTGCAGATTCCATTGTGATTGGATTTTGGGTTGGTCTCGCAGTCTTCGTGATTTTCATGTTTTTTGTGCTGACCTTGCTGACCAAGACAGGAGCCCCACACCAAGAGTAAGTTTGGGCCTTTCCTAAATGCCTGTCAAGCCCCATGGGGAATTGAAGGAACAGAAAATGGAGATAGCTGTCATATCCAGGACCAAGTCTTCAGCCAGGGAGTGGAGAGAAGGAGCGGGTTATGTTCCCAGGGGCCTGTGCAGTGGGCTGTGCCTTCCTCCTAGCACTCAGCCTTTGGGGCTTCTTTTCAAGTGCACCTTTTTGATCCACGGTTTCTTCTTTTCTATTGTCTTAATTTAACGCTGACTTACTTAGACCAAATTTTTATATTGAAATATTTATTAATTAGTATGTATTTTCTCCTTATTCCAAAAGAGTTTACATGATCATCTGACCTGACTAAAAACAGAAAAAGACAAAAAAGTAGGATAAAAAATTAGTTTCTAAAAAATTATTTTTATTTAAGTGACATTGCAATATTCAAGTTTCAGAGTGCATTATTTCCAGTATCTGTATATACCACATTAAGTTTACCAAAAATTCAATTTTATCTGTGACCTTACAATTGACCCCTTTTATCTGATTTACAAATCCTCCTTATCTCTTCCCTTCTAGTAACCAATAACTTGGTCATATAGTCTGAAACTTCTGTTTTATTTAGTTCATTCACATGTTCAAGTCTTAATAAGAGATGATGAACACCTTAACATGTGCTATCTGTATATTTTCTTTGGATAAGTGTCTATTCACATCCTCTGTCCGTTTTATAATTGGGTTATTTGTTTTGTATTGAGCTTTATGAGTGCTTTGTATTTTGGATATTAACCCCATGTCAAATGTGAAATGTGCAAATATCATCTTCCATTCAGCATGATGTATGGTTGTTTTGCTTAATAGTTTCTTTTGTTGTGCAGAAGCTTTCTAATTTGACGTAGTTCCACTTGATTTTTTTTCCTTTGTTTCCCTTGGCTTTGGGGTAGAACTCCCAAAGACATCTCTAAGGCCAATGTCAAGGAGCTTATTGCCTATGTTTTCTTCCATGTATTCTTGGACTTACGGAGGAAGTAATTACATGGGTGCTTGAAGAATGTTCAGTAATATCAGAAGGTATCCACTTAGTGTGGCTTATAAAAATCTCAGAAAAAAAGTTTGGGAGGATTTTTTTTTACTCTAACTCTTCAAAAAAAAAAAGGGGGGAGAGGATAAAATTAACATGTTGAATTCAAGACCCAGCAGGCAACAAATAATACACTCATTTTAGGAAGTTAAAAGAACTTTTGATTTGGGACACATCATAAGTTTGGTTGGGAGGAGGGAACCCCACAGAACAGTACAGGACCCCACGACTAGCAATCCTGAGGAGCAGTTACCACCCTAGATTTGAAGGGGTCAGTGACTGGAACCCAGGAATTCTGCGGATATGGAGGGTCACAGCCAGCCTGAAGGAGTCTTAAATACTGAGACAGAAGGGAAATAAAAAAATACCTTGACACAAATAAAGGTAGAAATATAATATGCAAAATTTATGAGATAAGCAAAAACATTTCTAAGAGGGACGTTCATAGCAATAAATGCCTATCCCAAGAAACATGAAGGCTCTCGTATAAACAACATAATTTTATACCTCCAGGAACCAGAAAAAGAAAAACAAATCCATAGTAGAAAGGAGAAAATGAAAAGGTCAGCATGAAAATAAGTGAAATAGAGATTTAAAAGACAATAGCAAAGATCATTAAATTAAAAGCTGTTTCTTTGAAAAGATAAACAAAGTGGACAAATCTTTAAATAAACTCACCCATCCCTCCCCCACCCCCAAAAAGAGAGAGGACTGAAATATATTAAATGAGAAATGAAAGAGGATATGTTACAACTCATACCACAGAAATAAAAAGGATGATAGAGACTACTATGGGCAACTTTATGCCAATGAATTGGACAGCTATGGAAAAATGGTTAAATTCCTGGAAATCTACAACCTACCAAAACTGAATTAGGAACAAATAGAAAATCTAAACAGACCAATTACTAGTGAGGAAATTGAGTCAGTAATCAAAAGTCTCCCAACAAACACATGTCCAGGAAGAGACAGCTTCAGTTAATATTCTATCAAATATGAATTAAGGATTAATACTAATCCTTCTCCTTCTCAAACTCTTCCCAAAAATAGAAGAGCAAAGAACCTTCCATTTTATGAACTTAGCATTAATTATCCTGATACCAAAACCAGCAAGGATGCCTCAAGAAAAGAAAACTATAGGCCTATTTATCTAATAAACATAGATGACATTGATGTTAAAATCTATGCTAGTACAAAGAGTACTAGCAAATGGAATTTAACAATCATTAAAAGGATCATACAGTCTGATCAAGGGGGATTTGTTCCAGGGATACAAGGATGGTTCAGCATCCACAAATCAATTAATATGATATATCACATTAACAAATGAAGGATAAAATAGGCCTCCCTGGCGGTGCAAGGGGTAAGCACAGCACTGTGAAGCTGGCCACAGCCTCTGCAGTAGGAGAGTTTAAACCCCAGCTGGCCAGGGAGCTACCCACATGGTGCAGCAGACCTCTCCTGTCTTGCCCACTGCTCTCCTCAGCAATGTATTTCAGTCAGTCTGCCTGTTCTGTTCCCCACTGTGTCTCTGATGAATCCTCTCACCCCCTGCCCTGCACCTCTGGCCTGTACCCCAGTTCTTATATGCATAAATAAATAAATCTTTAAAAAAAAAATGAAGACTAAAATAGCCACAGAAAAAAACATTTGTTAAAACTCAACACTCTTTCAATAAAAACTCTCACATAGGCCATGTGTGACAGGACCACTGCTAATATCAGACTCAGTGTGAAAAGGTGAAAACTTTCCTTCTAAGATCAGAGACAAGGCAAGGATGCCCACTATCACCACCTATATTTCACATAGTATTGGTCATCCCAGCCAGAGCAATTAGGCAACAAAAGGAAATAATAGGCATCCGAATTGGAAAGGAAGAAGCAACAGTGTTGTTATTTGCATATGTTATGATATGATATGTAAGGAAACCCTAAAGACTTCACCAGAAACATACACCACAACCCAGGTTTACTTCTTATTTAAACTATGTGTTAGCTGAGAGTTGGTGAGAGGTGGACAGAAGCTTCTCTGCTTGTAGCAGCCCTCATTCTCACACTCAGCCTCCTGAATTCCATGACAGGGACAAGAAAGGATTGAGCTCTTGCAACTTCTGCTGTTGTTCAACTGAGAAGAGAACATCACTTCCTCTCACACCAGCCTGACTGGAAAGATGCTCTTTATATTCCCAGGAGTGAAAGAGAACCAGAGAGTAGTGAGCACTAGTAGAGAATACTGAAAAGGGAGAGAGAGACTGTGATAAAGCTGACATCACCTTTCTTTTTTAAAAGCTTTTAGGCCCAAGAAGCAGCTTTAATGGGGATTGTTTTTCCCGTTGAATATTTGCTTTTGTGTAGGGGGAGAAAAAAGTCTCTTAACCTGGATTCTTTATGGACAATGAAGATGAAAGTATCATTTCTCCTGCTTTCTCAGCAGTTTAGGAACCATTTACTCTGCAGGTTGCCTTGTTAAAGCTTTGTAGACCCATTGGCATAAATCTGCCAGAAAGAACATAATGGAAAAGGCTTGTATCACATTTTTATGTTGAATATTTTTGAGTTTTTTTAAAAAATTATCCACTCTAGACATCATATACCTCATATTCCCTCCTTTTGTAGCCTTGGCTAAGTGCTCCACCTTGTCTAGGAGCAGATGCCCATCCTTTGGGGCTGAGAGCAAGATGGCTCATGATCTTGTATAAATGGAAATTACATGTTACCTCGAATTGCAATTTACCTGGCTATGGCACTCACTAAAGAAAGGGACAGTGCAACCAAAAACTGATGGCAGGAAAATGTCAGTGCTCAAGCTCTTTGTCAGGATCAAGGCCCAGGAACTACACGGAGCGGGTGCTCTCTGAGGGCGTCCTCCCATTCTAAAGTGCTCATGACTATCAACAGGTAGAAAATCTGCTGTGTAATGTACGTGATTCAATTTATATACCTTTGTTCAGAAGTTAATTTTAATTCCCCACTAAATAGGAGGTATTTACTGAGTGCATAGCTGCAGCTTGCCCTGACATTCCCAAAGGCAGCTCCAAGGTATTAGAACCTTCCTTGCCCAGAAAGGCAGACATCTTCCTGCTAAGTCAGTGCTACAACAAAAGCAACCAAAAGTCACTGCCATGAGACAGAAGGGTTTGGCTGGTTCCTCTGTTCAGGTTTGTTACATGAGGCAAAGCTCTCTGCACAGGCTGTAATACTCCATTCATGTTAGGGGTTATTACTGTTTTCTCACTAGTTGTACGTCATAGCACTTTTTCACTTACTGGGTCTTTCTTCAGCTTACACATTTTTAAAAGCTCACTGGAAATGACAGCTGGAATCACCAGGTGCCCATAGGCTCTTCATGAGTGGGGTAAACCTGAGCATGGTCGTGGGCTAAGACTCTCAGTCACAGGCTCTTAGCACAGCAGCTGGCACTTCATTTGTAAAAGTTCTACATAAATCTGCAGAACTTTTGGGGAACATCCCACAAAATTCCAGGGATTTTCTCTCTGCAGATGAATGTGAGAAGAGTCTGTCTGCCAGACCTGAATTGTGCTTTGGGGCATGGAGGAGGGAGCAGTTCACACTGCACTATACACTGCAGGTGATGGTGCCTCTCCTGGGAATCGGGAGCCTGGACCACCCGCAGACACAGCTGCGGTGTACACTCCCCCAGAGCCCGGTGACTGAGGCCCTTTGAGAGCTGCAGAGGTGACTGAATACAGCACAGATGTACTTAAGGGAGAAAAGACCATAAATAGAGAACCCTGGCCTGAGGCCTGCAGAGATGCATCTATAATAGATGTGTCTATAATAATGCATCTATATAGATGCAGAGATGCATCTATAATAGAATACAGGGGCTCAGAGGAGGGGCAGATTCCTTCCCTGGGGAGAGCTCAGACTCTCCATGGAGGCAGGGACACTTGAGTTGGGACAGTGAAGAAAATATTTTATTTTGACAGAGAGGTAGAAGGGCCTCTGAGATGGAAGGAAGAATACAGCAAAGGTACAGAAACAGACAGCATGGGGGTGGGAGGCAGTCAGACTGGATTGTGGGGTTCATGAGGTCACAGTAGGTGAAGACTCTTCCCATCCTCCCTTTCTGGTAGTCTGGAGTTTTTTAAACCTGAGTGAAGTGACAATTGGAGAAGAAAATCACTTACCAGGAAGACAGACCACTTAAATTGGCATTAATGCAGAAATTGTCAGAGACTCTCTAAAGTGATTTTTCTCTGAAATCTGAATACCTGACCTAGTGAGTGTTGTACTTGCATGTAAATCGTTGATTTTTCACATCACATTTGCTCAGTGGGCAGTGAGATAGGTTAACCAGGCTATTACTGAGAGGAAAAACTCCTTGTCTGATGTCGTGGAGGTGGTCGTGCTGGGAGAGATGGAATCCTTAGCAATCCACATCGCAAAGCATCCAGCATCACTGACCTCTGAATTCCAGCTGATTCTTGGTCATTTGGAGTTTAGGAGATGTGATCAGATTTCCCAGACCTGCAAATTGAGTCCACATTCCTCCTGCCCTGTAAGCATTTGGTCCTCAACACTTTATCCTGATGAGGAGCAGGAGGCTAAAGGACTTAGGTTACACAGGCATTGAACTCTGACTCCCAGCCTAGTTTTTGTGAGGTTCTGCTCTGAATTTGAAGCTATGTTTGGATTCTTGTCTTTAAAAAATCAGTACCTGAGTGAGTACAACTTTATATAACTCTGCAGAGGATGGTGGTTAAAGTAGATGGGATAGCAGGTTATTCAGTTTACCCATGTTCTTTCTTTCAGGCTCTTATGGGACTCACTGAGTTATTTTATTCATTCACTGACTTATTACCTTTGAGTTGCTAATTTCTTCCACCCCAAGGGGAAACATGGAATTAGGAACCTGGGTTGAATTTCACTCCTGTCACTAACTAGCATGTGACTTCAGTGGCAACCCAATGCCTCCTTTCTTTAGTGTCTACATTGTGCAATGGGTGTAATCATTCTTGCCCTAAGTGACTGAACTGATTAGTTTGGAGAACTGAGTGAAATAAATGGATATGACAGTATTTTCACTACTATTAAACTCATCTCTGGAAAATAGTATTGTAGTCTCAGGTTCTGAACTTAAACATGAGTAGTAACCCTTGAGAGTTCTGTGAAAACACAGATTCCTGGGCCCTACCACCAGAGATTCTGGCAAATGCATTTTCAGAAACATTAAGAGTAATTCTAATGCAAATGACTAAGAGTCCCCTGGAGAAATGCCTGTGTGTGCTGCAGAGTATCAGGTTACACCACAGTTTAGGTTGGCCTAGTGCCCTCATCTGGAGATTTTGCTTTGGGTCTCACATGCCCAGAAGCCTTGTCTCTCAGTTCTGATGCTTGTCTGCATGCTCTGTGCAGGGACTTGCACTCAATAGATGCTCAGGGGGATCATGCTGGCCTGCACTATATGCTGAAAACCAGAATCCCTCAAGTCAATCAGCTGGAATGCAAGCAAGCTCTTATTTTCCTTTTCTTTACAGCAATGCAGAATCTTCAGAGAAGAGATTCCGAATGAATAGCTTTGTGTCAGACTTTGGAAGACCCCTGGACCCAGAAAAGGTGTTTTCTCGCCAGGGCAATGAGGAGTCCAGGTCTCTCTTTCACTGCTACATCAATGAAGTGGAACACTTGGACAGGGCCAAGGCTTGTCACCAGACCACCGCCCTTAGCAGCGATGTCCACCTCCAGGAAGCCATCAGGAACAGTGGGCGGCCAGAGGAAGAGCTGAACAGGCTCATGAAGTTTGACATCCCCAATTTCGTGAACACGGACCAGAACTCCTCCTTTGGGGAGGATGATCTTCTGATTTCTGAACCCCCTATTATTCTAGAAAATAAGCCAGTTGCCCAGTCCTCACACATAGACATGGACTGAGAAATATGTTGATGAGAAACATGAAGATGTGGGTTTTATCTTGATACAGCAAGAAATCTCCATCCCCTAAAATTGTGTCTGAGTGGGTATGAGAGACAGAAAGAAAGAGGGACAGGTAGACAAAAAGACAAAGGGAAGATAGCCCTGGAGAAGATTGCCGACGAAGCTGAATTTTTATGACTTTAAACACACTTGGGATTTTTTTAGGGTTAAAAAATCTGTCTCCTCATCACATGGGTGAAAGATTTGGCTGGTACTCAGTGACGCCATTCTTGAGTGGGTTTGGTACACTACCTTCCAGTCTGGCCCTGCCACCACCATGCTCTGCCTTCATCAACTTGCTTTATTTACTCTGTGGGCTGCTACATTTTCAACTGCAGGGTGAGGAGTCTGGATTAGATTTTATTTTGTGTTTATGGCTTTGCATCCAAACAAGGCTGGGATGTATGTAAAGCAGTGTAAACTAAGGCACTGCCCCTGTCTCTTGTGTGAACCCCCATGACTTTACCTTCTACTCACCCAGTAACTGAGGCCAACTTTCCTCAGGGAAAGGTATTTACCAGGTGTGAGGAGACACCACAGAGTCACGATAGCCAACATTTCTGTTGGTTTTACAGAAACGGCTCTTCTGAAAACTTCTAGCCCTGCAGCCCCTGTCCCCAGGGTGAATGCTTGTCTGTGGTATAGTCACGAAATGCCTCTCCTCAAAGAATGTAGGGAAGGATGTCAGCTGGGTCAGGGAGATGCCCTCCATGTATCTCTGTGTCATGTATCTGCATCTGGTCACACAGCTGTGCCATTGGCTCCTGAACAAGAAAAGTGGTTCTCCCGTCCTGTCTGCTTGGCAGATGTGTAGGTGATGGTCATCTGGCTGGCATGTGGCTTCAGGCTGAAATGATGAATGGGTTGTAAATACTCCACCAAATGATCTTCTGGAGGGGAGGGGACAGAACAGAGTTACTTTCAGAAAGGGGTCACATGCGCACACTGGTGGTAGAAGCGCCTTGGCTGAGTACGGTTGGTTGCTGCCTGGCCAGATGCCTGTCTCTGGGTGAAAATCTCACATTTTCGTTGTGAATTTGTTCATCACCTGTCTACCACCTGTCTTGCTTATGCTGAAAGAATAAATACATTTGATTGCCCAAGAATTTTCTCTGGTTCTTTATTACATTACATCCAATTTTTTCATCCTTTAAAAACAGTTTCATGTTTCTAGAGCCTCCCAACCTCTATCATTTCTAGGATCCCAGTGGTCTGAATAATGTATCAGTTTTATTTAGGCATTATTTGCCAAAGAAATTTCTTTCCTGTAATGTCTTTTGACACTTTAAACTATCACTGAATAGTAGAATGAAGTGTAGAATATTTTTTATCATTAGAGCTGTTTTAACACAATTTTGCAAATAGATACTTGCTATTTCTATGCAAGAGAGCAAGAGTGGAAAAGAATGCTGAGTTTATTAACTTCTAATATGAATATTATTATTCTAATTATTCACTCAATATTATCCAACCATTGGCTATTTGAACTGGAAGCTATTTCAGTTGTATCCAATATAGAAGATTAGTCAGAGGCTGAAGGTGTGTATGTGTACGTATAATGAGGTAGCATTGGTTCCCACTGTATGATTTAGGGGACTAGGCTCAAATTGCTTAAGTACCCATGACAACCACCATTCTGAGGAACTGAATGTCAAGAACTGTGAATGGTCTGAGATTTTACCCTTCTTACAGACTAGTAAGTTTGCCTGGCACGGTTGCGTGGATGCTGGCAGAGGACACAAGACATGGCATCAGAGACTAAGAGCTTCATTGCAGCCCAGCAGGAACTCTCTCTCAGTGTTCAAGTAGGTTCCTGAATTCATTTCCTGTCCCTGTAACACAACACCAGGGATGGAGCAGCGTAGTCCCTTAAAGCAATGCAGATGGGTTAGACTTCTAAAGTCCAGAAGTACAAAATCAGTGACAGTGAGTAAAATCAAGTTCCATATGGAGGCTCCTTAATCATATATGCACAGTCCCACAAGTTCTGGGGGTGGCACATGGACATATCTGGGGGCCATTTATCTACCACAATCTTTCCTTAAGTCCCAAAGATTCATGTCTGTCTCACATCCAAAATATATTCACCTCATCTCCACGGCCTCTAAAGTCTCACTCATTACAGCATTAGCTTAAAGTCCAATATGTAAACTTAATCTTTTCAGCTCAAAGCCCCAAATGTTATCATCTTAATTGACTAAGTCAGATATGGGTGAGCCCCTGGGTAGGATCCATTTTGGTTAAATTCTCTATCTGAATCTGTGTATCTAGGAAAAAAAAGTTACCAGCCAACCAGTGAGACAACCATATAGACATTCCTGTACCCAGAGGAAGAAGCTGAAAGGAAAGGACTCACTAGTCCTCAGCAGTTTAAAAATGCAACTGGTAATTCCATTGGGTTGCAAGACTTGGTCATAATCCCCTGTGACTTGTGATTGCTGCTCTGCCTTTAGAATAACCCTTCCTTTCTTTGAAGGAAAAAATCTGTTTCCCAGGCTGTTTCCTGCCTATAGAATTCCAGCAGTGACAGCCTTCTTCCACCTTGTCCTCTCGTCCCTTCAAGTTGAAGTTGGCAGTGCTGCTAGTGTCACATTCTCACTATGCCATTGAATTCATTCTGCTACACAGGAGGCGCAGGTTATTTCCTCTTGAGACAGGGCATGACCTGTTGTATTCCCAAGCCAGCCAAGGTTAGGTGGCCTCTGCATTGACTAAGGGTGATGTTTCAGGGAAGGGACCATGAATGGGCAACATCCACAGCCCCTAGAAATGAGACCCTGGATAACCTCTGGGTAGGGCACTACCCGTGTATGTGAGTGTGCGTGGGTGTGTGTGCGTGTGCATGCACACGCGCACACACACGCGCAAATAATGTTTAAAAGGCTCACTTTTCATAGTAGGGTTATGGAAGTTAATACCTCAGAGGCTGCCTCAAAGGCTGCTTAGGGCCTCTCTGTTTCTGTTTATAAATTGTGAGGTTGTGTCTCTGCATAGGTTGCCCATTTCACTCATGAAAGAAGCCAGAGTCCTAAGGACAACTTTGAAGATTTCCTCCTCCTGCCCCTGTCAGCGCACCTCACCTACTGTTCTTCTGGCTCTCACAGCTCCAGGCACACTGGCCTCCTTGCTGTCCTTGGAAACACCAGACATGCACCCATTTTAGGGTCATTGCCCTGGCAAGTCCCTTCTGGAACGTTCATCCCCCAGGTAGCTGCACACCCCACTCACTCACCTCTTTCAGGTCTTCCCCAAAGGTCCCCTGATAGGGTTAAAGTGTGCCCCTCTCCAATTCATATGTTGAAGTCCTCACCCCAATACCCCCAAGTGTGACCTGATTTGAAATAGTCGCAGATGTAATGAATTAAAATGAGGTCCTTAGGATGGGCCCTAACCCGATATGACTTGTGTCCTTAGAAAAGGGATACAGAGACATGCTTTAAAGAAATAAAATGTGGAGAGATGTAGAGAGAAGACAATCACCTTCAAGCCAAAACGTGAACCTCAGAACAGATTTTCCCTCACAGCCAGCACTGTGGACACCCTGCCTTCAGACTTCTAGCCTCTAGACTGTGACATGATATATTTCTGGTGTTTAAGCCACCCGGCCGTGGTGTACTCTTACAGGATCCCTAGCAAATGAATACCGACCGCCTTCTCAGTGTTTTTAATGAGACCTCCTCTGGCCATCCAATTCCAAACTGGAAACTGTCCTCTGCTCTGCACCCTCTCTGTCCCTGATCTCACAGCGCACCTCCCCATCTATAATGCTGTGATGGTAGTTTATTTTCTGCTCCTCCTACTGGCATGTAAGTTTTGCAAGGGCAGGAATCTTTATTTTATTCACTGATTGATCTCAAGTGGCAAGGCTGGTCCCTGGTCTTCACGAGTGCCTGGCATGCAGTAGGCAGTCAATAAAAATTGGATGAAGGGAGGGAGGGACTGTTTCTTCTCTCTGTTTTACAGGTGAGAGAACAGAGGCTCTGGAAGATTCAGCATTTCACTGAGACACAGACCTAGTAGGTGGTTGAACAATCTGGGTTTTCTGTGAAGGTTTGAAAGATGCCCTTTCTGTTGGTTAGTATTTATCTGGTACATAATTTTTCTATCTTAAACTTGCAACCACTTTATAAAATTCTTTCAAACTTTCAATCTAAGATTTAATTTTGCTTTGCTTCAGGTCAACAAATTAAATCTGTAAATCTATCCTTTAACACTGTGAGTTTATTCCATCTCAATGTATTGTGAGTAATCACCATGTTTTATTCCTAGCATATTATTTTGTAATTTCTCTTTTCTTGGCTTTGGATTTCTTTTTTCCTTCTTTATAGTCTGTGCAGTCAACGTCAAGAGCATGGGATTCAAAGACAGTCCAACTGGGTCTGGTTCCATCACCTGCTAACTGTGCAATCTTTTTTTAAAAAACATTTATTTATTTATGCATACAAGAACTGGAGTACAGGCCAGAGGTGTGGGGGGGGGGTGAGAGGATTCACCCGAGACAAAGTGGGGAACAGAGCAGGCAGATTGACTGAAATACATTGCTGAGGGGAGCAGCGGGTGAGGCAGGAGAGGTCTGTTGTGCCATGTGGGTAGCTCTCTGGCTGGGGATCGAGCTCATGCTGCAGTGGCTGTGGATAGCTTTGTAGGTTTCATCTTAACCCCTTGCGCCACCAGGGAGGCCCTAACTGTGCAGTCTTAACTGGGATACCTAATCTCTTTGAGACTCAGTTTCCTTATATACAAAAAGGGATAACATTCACCTCAGAGTGTGTAGGCATTAAGTGATCAAATATCTCAAGCACTTAGAATAGTGACTCCCTGTTCTTCATGCTCCATCTCACCTCCTTGTTTTTATTCTTTTTTTAAGCATGTATTTTAATGATTATTATTGTATCTTAATAAGTATACTGGATATTGAAAGACAAAATCATTGTTTAACCCAGCTGTTGAATTTTATATATTAACTGTTATATGTAATTTTATGTCAATTTATTTAAAATCTGTTTATTTAAAATCTGTTGGGCCTTTAAAAATCAATCTGTACTTTTTTCACAGTGTCCTGAATTTTCATTTTATTTTCTATGATTTGCTTTCATTTTTAATGATTCAGCCATACTTACTTTATGCTCTCTTTTGGATTTGTTTTATAATTTTAGGTTCTTGCGTACCAACCATCCTGGGATTTCGGGGTTTGCTACTTTTTATTCTTGGTCAATTACTTCCTGCTGTTTTCAGGTGTGTTTGTGGGTAGAGTTGTCAGTTTCTTTTAAGCAAGTATTGTTTTTCTCTATGATTTTCTCATATACCTTGGTTTATTAAAATCCCCTAGAGAACAATTTTATGTTGCTTATCCATACCAAGTGATTTGATCAATTTGCAATTATTGGGTGTTTTATTGGTTTGAGTATTCCTGCATTGTAAGTGGAGTATAAATTTGGATTCTACATCCACATGAAGCATAGGCTTGGAGTTTAAGCTTTTTAAGGGAGATTATTTAATCCGAAAGGCCTTGGCAGCACCAGGTTCCTTATTCCTTTTTGTGTAGGTGTTGGGATTCTTGGAAGCCCCCTTCACTGACAGGCAGCCCCTTCCAACAATTTTATGCAGAGGGTCTCAGAATAGCAAGAGTCTCTATATCTTCCATGAACCCTCTTTTTATGAGTGGCTGGGGGGACCCCTTCACTGTGCAGGTAAGCCCCTTCCCTCTGGGTGTTGGGATATCAGTTCACAAGCTGTTGGTGCTGAGTCTGCATTCCTCTCCTCCTTGGTTAACTTTGTGTTACTTTCTTCTTGTTCTAAGACAATTTTAAATTCCCTTCCTTAGACCTGTTCTGCCAAAGTCTATCCATTTCTTAAGAGCAGTCTCCAGATTTTCCAAAAAATTCTGTTCTGTGCACCACCACACTTCATAGTACTCACATCTCATACACATCAGTTTATTTTTTGAGCATATACTTTGCTTATCTTCCCCGCCATAGAGCTCTCAAGGAATCTTATTCTCTCTTCTGAAAAACAAAACATTTGCTTCCGGCACTGCAGGTGAGTCCCGCATTGTGAGAGAGAACCACATGAGACAGCTACCTCATTTCCTGCAT